TTTTTTTTTTGGCTTTTTCTCTCCCCACTCTCCTCCCCTTTTCCCGCCACCCCTCCCCCTCCCCCTAGTTGCTATCTGGTCACCTAGCAACCTGTAATTTTTTTTCCCTTTCTCTTCCCCCTCTTCTCCTTCTCCTTCTTCTCTCCCTTCCCTCTCACACTCCGACTTGTATTATAACTTGCAGCCACGGAATTTTTTTTTTTAGCTTTTTCTCTCCCTGACCAGATCGCAGCCCCCTTCCCCTCTCTCTTTGCGATCTGGTCACGCGACCAGATTGCAGCTAGCGGGAAGGGGAGGGTGGCGGGGGAGAAAGAGGGGAGGAGAGAGATTGAGGGAGAGGGAGAGGAAAAAAAAAAAAGAAGGCCGGCATTGATTCCAGTGCCGGAATAGGTGTCGGCACCGGGAGCGGTGGTGAAGGTGGTGGCTGGTGATCGGTAACGTGGTGGGTTGGGTGAGAGAGGAAAAAGAAGAAAAGTTGAGGCGAAATTTTTTGTGTATTAGATTTGAAGTGTATAGATTAAAAACTTTGATAAATTTTTTGGGATTCTCATAGCAAAAGTTGTTAAAAAACTAGTATCATACAAACTTGAGATTCTAAACAGGGCCATGTTCCTCCAAACAAACCCTTTGAAATAATTAGGGTTTGTTTGGATAGAGTATTATTTGGAATAATTACTGTAGTACTTTTTATGATGCAATGTATGTGAGATAAAAAAGGTAGTTAGGAATACAAAAATTTAGGTTGAAAAATGTGTTTACGATACAAGCGAAATATTATTTGGAATAATTTGCTATCCAAACATTCCTAGTACTCTCTCTCTTCTTTTGTCTTTTTTTCCAAGATACAAAGATGCTTGAACTTAATTACCACCTCCTAACTGCTGAGCTCGGCCCAATGGTCACCAAGGTGGAATTTAGGTGTGGGTTCAAATCTCATTTACAACAAAAAAAATTCAAAAAATGGTGTCAAAACATCCCTTTAGCCTAGTAACATTTGTGTACCTCCTATTTGCTCGACGAAAAAAAAAAAAACCACCTCCTATTTTTTCTCTCTTCCGCAAATAAAGTTAATTCTAAGACCAAGCTATACTCTTTGCTTCAGGGTCTTTGTGTTAATATTTCGTTTAGCATGACAGTACCATATATTGGAAAATGCCCCTCAAACTCGTAGTAGGAGTTAGAAGGGCACATAAGATGCATGATTAATTTTGGGATGGAGTAAACACATATTCATAGGAATTTAATTGCTGAAAAACTTTATGTAATCGTTATTAGTTGTAATTTTTTTTTTTTTTTGGGCGAACGACAGGAGCAACAACGTGCACTAGTCCTACAGACACTATTTAGGGGGGGGTGGGGGGGAGGGACTTGTAAGGGACTTTCTACACAGCGGGAGGACTTGTAAGGCGTGAATCTCCACATCACATCAGTTTAGTGTACTATTATATCACATTCTCTGAATTTTTTTTAAAAGAAAAAAGCATTCACTAAGCGATGTTATGCAACTATTAATCGATAACGTCCAAATGTATTAACAAAAATTTTACTTGCGTATATCGTGGATCAGATTCCCATTCTGGATAAAAACGATCATTTCATTTAACTTTTCATGGAACCATTCGTTCGTATCTGTGAGAAGGCGTTTTCTTCATATCTGACGTACAGGCTTGCATCAACCCAAAAAAAAAAAAAGTCATGAAAACAGGAAAATTATGGGCCCAGCGGAAAGGTAGTGGCTGTCAAGGGAAGTCGATTTTTTCAAAAAGATTTATGCGCTACGACTGGGGACGTGTCGAGGTGCTGATTGGACTAAAGTATTCAAACATTGGATAGATCGTATCATTAGATGACAGCTTTTAGGAAAAGTTTACCTAATCCGAATTGAATTGCTATATATATATTTTTTTTAAAAAAAGTTTTTTTTTCTTTTAAGAAAAATAAATGCATTATAACAAATATTATTGTAGTACTGTGCTTCTTAATATATGTGAGTTTAGTTTGAGGCACTAGAATCTCCCAAAAATGCATTTGTAGGAAATTCATTTGTTTGTCATGACCAAAATACCAAGATTGGATCCTATCTCCAAATAAGCTTTTTAACCAAACCGAAACGAAAATAGTAATTGTTTCCCCACATTTCTATTTGTATAATTTCTAATCATGAAATGCGCCTTTTTTTTTTTTTTTTTTGGGGTACTAGAACACACTACTACTATTTTTCCCCTCATGACAACACCTCAGAGAAACCAATAAGAGAGGAGGAGATGGGAGAGGCTGATTTGGTTTTGGGATGTGATGTAATTTGATTCCTTGTAGGGTCAATGAGATTGAGACGGGGAAAGGTAGTTGGGCAGGTGGACCCCTTTTTTGAACCTCATACGATCAATAGTAGCATGTTTGTTTGAATGTCATGTTTCAAAGCAACTCTGCCCGCATTCGATGCTGCTGCTTACTTGCTATTGTATGTATAATGTATGTATGTATGGTCCAAATAATTTTTGATGGTTTTGGCTGCAAATGATGTTTTAAGACTTGTTCAAACAAATTTCCTTCTTTTTTTTTTTATTGAGGGTTTCCAATATTGGTGGGTTTGAGATCACTTTTTTTTTTTTTTTATCCATCGTTGCTTTATCTATAGTAATATCCTACAATTTCCTGATCTGAGAGAAGATCCAACTGGGCATGGGAGGGCAGTACGAGATCATCATATTTTGCTTTCGCTTCCTCTTTGTCAACGGTCAACGCTTGCTCTGGGCATCCAAGTTTCTTTATGGGTCCTACTGGCGTCATGAGATGAAATAACCAGCATGCTTTTGGCCGTGGCTTCACCTCTAACAGACAGACTCCTGGTGATTTTCACCTGGAATAGAAAAGAAAAGAAAAAATCAGCAGCGTGGGGGATATCGAAAGTGGGAATATATTCAACTTTTGGTAGATATTCATTGCGTGATGTGATAAGTTTGAAGAAAGGTGAAGGGTAGGGGTTAACTTAACAGGTCTCTTCCTGTGTCCTCCCTCCATCCACGGATCTTCCCCAAAAATTAAAAAAAAAATTAATAATAATAATAATAATAATGAGGAGGAGGATGTCATGTGAAAGAAACTATAAGTAGAACTTTTTGTGAAATTGGGCCGAGATTGGAAAAAGAAAAGAAGATTAACTTCCATGCAGACGAATGGCCTACATGCAAAGGCAAGACCGCTTTGCAAGTTTCTCTTAGCATCAAGTTTTGGGAAGACTGGCATAAAGAGAAATGGACTGGTAACATGTTGGACCTAAATCGTTCCAGTTTTTTTTCGTGGACATATTCGGCCTTCAACCTAGGCCTTGAACAGTCTAGGCAATGGCTTGGTAAAAAAACATTTAGGATGAGACTCGACCAGAGTGACATCTCTGCAGCCACACTGCGTTATTGGGCTTGAATTGTCATGGAAAATCTCTTGTGACCCCATCAATGAGACTTACCACCACCCCGCCCCGGCCCCATAAATGATCGCTACTCCGATTTTAACTTTTCATTTGATACATTTAACTTTTGCTATTAATTGATTTAGTTTGCAATGGATGTTGGGTAGGCGATCCAAATTAGGGGTGCGTTCGAGTCGAGCTCGAGTAGTTCGAGGTAAAATAACTAAATTTGAGATCGAGCTCGAGCTTGTTGAGCTTTTAGAATTTGAGCTCGAGCTCGAACTCGACATCAATTTATGTTACTTGAGTTCGAACTCAAGCTCGAGTTTAATTAAATATAATCAATTCAAATCAATCTCAATCGAGCCTATTCGAGTTCAATCAAGTCTAATCAATCTCACGTAATAAAAATTAATATTTTACATATAATTTTAAATAAAGGATATTATTAACATTTCACAATACTAAAATTTAAAATATATATTATAAAAAAACTCGATTAGGCTCGTCGAGTCTTTGAGTGCCAAATATTGAAGCTAGAGCTCGATTCGTTGCTTCTATCAAGCAGCTCGAACTCAGTCAAAACGAACTTGAGTCGAACTGCTGACCGAATAGCTTGCGAGCTCGAGTCAAGCTATTCGGTCCAACATCAGCCCTAATCCAAATTAAGCATTTAATTTGACTTGGGTAGAAAAATCAAACATTACCATGCTTTAGTAGCACATGTACAATGTATTGGTATCTGGTTTATGTCCGTGCTTCCATCATTTAAAGTTAATCCCCCAAAAAAAGAAAGTTTCAAATATGGTCATCGTAATTGTGCCAGTAACCCTATACCATTTACTATTTCGACTTTTGCACACATATCATGATTCTAACAGTAATAGTGTATACTGTGATTTAAAACTCGGATCGGACAGGTCGGTTCGACATCGGTCGAACCGGGAACCAGCCAAGTATCCGATTCGAATTATGCTTAAAAATCGGGCAAGTAAAAATCCGGTCAAATCCAGTCAAAATCCGGGTTTGACCTAAAAAAATCGGATTTTCCAGTTCAAACAGCATTTAAAAAAAACTCAAATTTTTTTAATATTATGTTTTGACCCCTGAATTGTTAAAAATTATTAATATATCTCAAATATTTCATACTTTATCAATATTTTCTTAAAGTTTGGTATTATTTTTCAATTAAGTCCGTAATTTTAATTCTAAACTTGTTAATGCTCATTAAATAATATAAATTGTTACTTGATTGTTCTAATTTCTTTGTATTTTCTTGTTAAATATATTTAAAATATCAAATATATATGAATATACATTTATTAATATTTACATGTTATTAGGTATTTTTACATATAATATTTTAATTTTTAAATAATTTTTATCTATAACGTCATCTGGTTCAACCCCTATCGAATCCGGTTGAACCCATTGACCCCTGACCCCTGAGGTTGATCGAGTCAATACCCGGTCCGGTTCTGATATAATGTCAATGTATATAAGATTTACTCTTACTAAAAGGATTAACCTTTTCTACACTGATAGTGTATACACTGTATGTAAGCATTTGATGAACGATAACTATGTAAAATTTAAATTTGAAATTCAAGTTTTATACACATATCATGAATCCAACGATGATAGTATATACACCATCAATGTATATAAGATTTACTCTAACTAAATAACTTTAAGAATAGTATATAAAAACACAAGAGTAAATTTTAGTATTCATTAAAAGATGTGTCCCACAATCAAATCCCATTCATTAATGCTAAAATCAAACTTCTACGGGACATCAATTGCATGGACCAACCGTTCTAGCCAGCCCAATGCATTGCTACCTCCACTCCAGTGAAGACAGAGCACCGAGGACAGGGGGCTGGGCTGCTACATCACAAAACGATACATCTATCTCTCTGTTAACGCCACCCGCCAACCAAATTATTGTGTCAAACTCAAAGTCAAACGTTAACTACCTCGAACCTCCGGTTCTCCGCCCTCAGAGCTCGTTCCAACTGCTCCACCTTAACATCTGCACACGTAAAAACCACCCTCTCCATCCCGCAACCACCACCAGACACGGCGTTGTGCACGCTTCCCCAATTGCATCCGCCGCCCTTGATAAGCTCACACGCTACCACCTCCTCCACCTTCTCCGGGTTGTATATATACACAAAACTCCCAGCTAAACAAATATTTATCGAAGAAATTCCAAAAGTTTCACTTTCAAGCTTCTCCACAAACAGACGAGGCATCTCTCCTATTTCCATGCATCGATCGAAAGACCCGGAATTAGAATCGTAACCCACCTCCCATACCTTCACTTTCTCGACATTTTCGACGTCTCCGATCAAACCCACGAGAATCAAACGTTCCTTAACGCACCCGATGACCGAGTAAAAACAGCGTTGATCTGGACGGAGATCGAATTGTTTGGACCAGTCGTTGGAATCTAAGTCAAACCAGTACGTCGCACCAGAATGTTTCTCCATGACAAAGAGTTTTTCTGGCGTGGCAGCCACGGAAAGCCATGTTGAAGCTGCGGAGTCCTTCAACCTCGCCGGCATGGAATCGCAGGTGCGCCAGCTCCGGTTCTTGATGCTGTATATTTCGACGGCGAGGGGGTCGTCTTCGAAGTCGCACGTGCCACCGGCGACGACAATTGAGTCACCAACTTTGGTGACGATTGGGTCCCCGCGCCACAGCAGTGGAGCATCCACGTGGTGCCATCTAAGATTCAACTTGTCGAAGGAGAAGGAGAGCTTTGAAGGGGACAACATATAGAGGAAATTGGAGTTGGATGATCGAAGGGCGGTGGCGTGTCTGATGATGGAGGCGGGCTGAGACATCTTAATCCACACACGCGAACGAGGGTCGTAGGCACGGGTGGTGGCGGCGTAGGGGTGGCGAGTGGCTTGGGAGTGGATAATCAGCCAAGGCTTGGGCGGATTGCGGCTGAGGAGGGAGGAGTGAACTGCTTGGTTCCATGACTTTGACACGCGCAATGTCGGGATCAAGTCGATAAGTGGCACGCGTGATAGTGTTTCCTCTAGCATGTCTCCATAAATTGGATCTTCCTCTTCTAACATTATTATTGGCATTGCCATTTTTTCACATGCAAGCTAGGCTAGCTTTGTTGCGTTATGGCAAGAAAATGATAGGTGGAATGCTATATCATTTACGAGGCATGATGCTCAAGGCTGGGCACCATTTATAGGCGGAGGAAGATTGCGGATTTTTTTTTCTTTTTTGGTCGCTTACTTAAATGTGGTCTACAACATTTTTTCTTCTTGCCATGCACATTGAATATGGGACCCTACAGCCGTTGGCGGATTGTTTCAAATGTTTGTGGCCATTTGATTCCAAGACAAAGAAAGCTAGACTTTCATCTGTACGATTCTGGTTTTTTTAGTTGGATGCAATGTTGAACATGGGGCCCTACTGTGGTCGTTTATAGTCTCAAACTTTGCTATGATGATCATGATTGAAATTATCCAAATTTTTAATTAAAAGACAAGAGGATGGTTTGTTTTAAATTTGCTTTGCCTTGTGCTGCTTCTTCTTTGCATTTTCCGCCCATAGCTTTGACAAATGACAGGCGCACTAGAAGGCCTCAAATTTTGCATACCTTGCAGAACAATTGCATCATGTTGAAGGCGCTTAATCTTCAGGCGATTTTCGGAATAAGTTATGTAAATGTATGGTTTAGAGTTTAGACCAACTTTTTTTTTTTTTTTGGGGTATATTTTTATGGTGTAAGCATGAATGTTAGACCCAAAACCTCTCATCTACACTCTCATCTACACTCCCTTCTGACTCCTTTGTCTTCTTTTTTTTTTTTTTTTTAACTTAGAATGTGTTATGATTTATGAACACGTATCAAAAGATTCAAGAAAATCAAGTCAGTTTACTGCTAATATCGGTAGTTATAACTACAAAAAAAAATTGACTTTATTGTTAGTTAAACTCAGTACGAATTCTTCAACAAATCAATAATAGTGTCCAATATATAATTTAGGGTCAAATAACAAATGTTCGATTTTGTCCCTCTAATTTAATTGCTAGCTGAACGCAAATGAGACGAAGTCACCAATTTAATCCACCTTCGGTTATATCTGCCTCTCGCAAAGTTCTTTGCCATTGCACAGCGTCTGAAACCATGCAAAAGTTTTGGAATGTTAAATTGATCCAAGTATCTACTAAGAACATACAGAAACTCAGGGATCGCATGCTTGGGGTGGGCTGAAGAGAAAATGCAAAGCCATTTCAGCTTCTCTGCAAATTCAAGCCATCGAGCTTGAACGCCGACTTCCAGTACCGTTTCTGTTGAAGCCGTCAACGCATTGACCTCTCTCGATAAAATATTAGCAAAAGGGGCGGTTTGTCTTTTAGCAATTTGTTTTTGATCCTATTTCACCATATAAAAAATTTTCCCCCTTTTAAAATGTTGTGAATCCTTCGAAAGAAATTTTCAGCGTAGCGCATTCTAGTTTCCAAGGCCAAAGAGGATATTCATTCGAGGATTTTTCTGTAGTTCTCCTTATACTATAAGTTTTGTTACTGTTTGAGATACTTGAAAGAAGGATTCTTTTCTAATTAGAGTCTCAATGTTGTCAATCTCGTAATTAAGGCACATGTATCACAGGATAAATACGCTAATCTCAACTTTTGCAAATCAGCAAAACAATTTGCTCCAATTGTTGTTTGAACACCCGAAAATTCCACCATTTCCAAAAGCTGGAAAAGAAAACGTCCCTAGCCAAAACTTTCTGAAGCATACTAGCTTTTCTTTTTTCTTTCCTTTTTTTTTTTCCCGCTTTTATCTCTTCTCGTGAAGATAAGATTTCAGTCACTATCCGCTGAGTGGAGAGCGGATGATAGGATTAATCAGCAAATCTCATTCTTGACAGGATTAATCAACTTAAATGGCAAACAACAAAGCAATTAATGCACTCTTGTGCGAGCAGATAGAAGGAAAACTTGGCTGGCTATTGTTGTTGGCTATATCTACGTCTCATCTACCTTTATTAGATGCACCTACACCTTGTGCATCTGGTACACTCGGGTGATTTAACTCCTATTCAATGAAATATCTTAAAGTTGTGGGGTATACATGTGATTAATTCAATTGTGTAGTTGAAGACTTTGAGGTCGAAATGAGCAGGCGAGGCCAAGAGGAAAACCTCAAAAACTTGATAAAAATAGACCAAGGCAAATAATGATACAGTTTGCCATGATTAGCTATTCTGGCTGGAAGAAAATTACATAAATTATCCGAACATATCTCTTTGTAGCAAGGACGATCACAGACTTCTACTGAAAATTTTACTCATCTGGGCTCTTTTCCTCCCGTATGTTTGATACTGGGAAGAGAGAGTTTGTTTCTTTCCTAAAGTACTTTTGGACGTAGGCAGAGTTATCAAAATTCGTTATTGAAGCAAATTATAATGCATAGGTTCTATTTGGATTCTTCACTTTTTAAAAAATAAAATTTTCATATACAATACTGTAGTAATATACAAACAAAAATAATTTCAAAAACACCACATCCATACGATAAATTAAAAACAACTTCAAATATACAAAAAAAATTTGAAAAAAATAAAATCTACACCACTTTCTTCTTCCATCTATCATCACCACATCCCCTCCTTCCTTTCCCTCCCCTTTCTCTTCCCTCTCTTTTTTTCTCTTTCCTCTCCCTCCCTCTTTCTCCTTCCCTCCTCCCTTCGCCTTCCCCACCACACCTCACCTCTCCCTTTTGTCCTCAATCTAATTGAGGCCAGATCGAGGAAAGGAGGGGCGGGGTGTAGCGAGAAATGGGAGGGGAATGGGAGAGAAGGAGGAAAGAAAGGAAGAATGAAAAGAAAGGAGAAGGAAGAGGAAGGGTGAAGGAGACAAAAAGAAGATGGTGGTGGTGATGGATAATGGTAATGGGTGTTAGTGTTAATTTTTAAAAAATATCTTAAAATATATTCTAAAAATACCACTAAAAACATTTACAATAATAGTTTTTTATATACATTGTTACAGTGAAATATTTCAAAAATAACTCAAAAAACAGCTAATCCAAACAGAACCAATTAACCAAACATCTCAATTAGCCAATACGAGTTATGCAAGAAATGCTTTACTACTATTCAAGGGAAAAAATTCCCACTCCCCTTTCTGTTTCTTAAATTCCATTTTTCTCAACTTAAAAAATAAAAAATGAAAAAAAAACTTTACTTCTATGTATATTGACGCCTTTACGGCTCGTTTTGGTAAAGGCAACATCACACTCGCACAATGTAGGAGTCAGAAAAGATTGTAAGGTTATGTCATTTCAAGAAAAGATTGTCCAGTTATTCTAAAAGAAAAATAATAGTAACTATGAAGTAAAACTTGACTGGGACTCTACTCTACACTAACATACTATGGCCCTGACATACAATGCCCTGTTTGACAAGTGAATTTTTTCAAATGTTTATTTAAGATTTTACTGTAGCTTACTATAGAAGTTTTTTAAAATAATTTTAAAATGTATAAATTATTGAATATTTTAAAATGTATAATTTAAAAACTTTAAAAAGTTTTTTTGAGGTTACTGTAACTTTTAAAAGTATATATTTTAAAGTGTATACTTTAAAAATATATATTTTAAAATTTTTAAAAAACTTGTAACAAACAAACTCGATAAAAAAACTCAAATGCAAACAGGGCCATGTTGGATACGAACTGATGCCTATTTAACGGACCTCTGACCTGATGATAATATGCTCTCATGCGCCCCAATTGAGATGTTTGGCTAATTGGCCTCCTGTGTAGGCCCAAAAAGTGGAAGCTCGTCCAGCTGCCAATTCACATTTGAAATTGTTTGAGCCATTTTCACATGTGAGTGGTGAGACCAATTCTTGCGTTTTAGACGAGCATTAGAAAGTCGTAACAAGTCATTTTCATTTTACGTTGATGTTATTGTTTTAAGAAGTGGGCTTCCAGATGTTGGGCCTCTAAGAGCTTGGCCATTGCGCTTGAAATGGGATCAGCTTCTCCGGAGTTCATCCGATTGAAAGAGAGAAGTGAAATCCAAAGTAATATTACTCTTCCTAAGGCCGGAAGATTTGGAAGCTTGGTTCAAGCTCCAATTTCCTTTCCATTTCCGTTTGAATTTGGAAAAAGTTTTTCTTGACAGTTGCCTTTCCATTTCATTCGTGAAGATTCAGGATTTAGACAAGGCCTAGGCTCAACACTCAAGTGGCTATTTTCCAAGCCAGAACCCTGAAAAAGCACAACTGCAAACCCTTCTTTTTCTAGTCTGCCCCCTTTTTAAGTAACTAATTTCATCTCTATTGACCACCACAAATGGCCACTCATAACAAAAATGAGAATCCAATTTAATCCGATTCGTGTTCCATACATAACCCACTACAACAATTGCACTAGAAAAGATTGGAAATAAAGGAAGAAGAACTAGATCGAACTGATAAATGATTAGACTTGACCATCTATGCCGCAGCACTGATGCACTCAATTGCCTGTTTGCATATGCCAGTCATGGTAGCTTCAGGTCCATAAACCTGCACCAAGAAATGAGAGTCAAATCAAATTACAGCATACTGTTAGGTTCTGTGGTGGTACGAACTTGTGTGTTGTTCTTTTATGAATGCCTCAGTCTCATATCTGTATTTGTACCTCAATTGGGATGCCAATTTCCTCTGCTAGAGCCCTCATCCTTGCAAGACCCCTCTGGTAATTTGGACCGCCCCTTCTCACATAAAGTTGCATTCTTGCAGCTTTGAGCTTTGATTCCTGTTATATGGATGCTTGAATTAGCATCATTCTGCTGATAGGATCAGAGAGATGTTACGAAAACTACGGAAAAGATTTCCAAACCTTCTCCTTCAGAGCTCGAATGATGCCATTAAATGTAGCAGCAACATCTGTGAAGTTTGCAATTCCACCACCTATTAAAAGGGCTCTCTTACGGCCATCAGGATTTGCAGTTGCACACTGTAAAACAAGTGATAATTAAACGATTGCAACATAGGGAACATAGTAATTGGATCTATTAAAAAGAATGAATTATAACTAATGGATAATGTCCAGCTTGAAGCAACCACATTATGCTTACATCAATTACAACTCTAGCATACTGCAAAACCTCTTCCTCGTTAGGAGCACCGCTATATTCTGCATAGTTACCAAGCTCAGAAGCATAGCCAAGATCTCCAACCTAGTTAATGAAGACATGAGGATTCAGATAACCATCAAGAATAAGAAGAAAAAAAAAACAAGTGTTAGAAGTAGCAAGGATGAGAAACACACGGTATCGGCATAAATGACACTGGCACCGCCTCCAGCTACCATGGTCCAAATTCGTCCCATTGGATTCAAGACTGTGAACTTCAAAGATGCACTTGTCTGCAAGAAACCAGAATTTA